GAGAGGAGACTCTACAGCCTCCCTGGGCAGCCTGTAAAAAGGCTCCTAGAAAAAAAAGGCTCCTGCTCCTGCAAAAAGCCTGCTCCTGCAGGCTTACAAAATGGCAGTTTCCCATCAACACATTTTAATACACCCAGCCATGCAAAACTACAGCATCTTCAGGACAGGAAAAAATACTTTGTTTTGCCTCTTTCTTTTTCAAATGACGGGGTCACGCCAGAGTTTTCCACCTAATATGCACGGTGGTATAAAGGTGCAGGTCTGGACACACGGTCTTATTGCTCCATCCCTCACTCACCGAGCAGGGCGATGCTCACCCCGCCTCCCCGGGTGTCTACTGGGGCCACGCAGGCTCGATACTTCACGAGAGAACGGCCATCACTGGCGATGCAGCCAGCAGGTTCCCCTCGGTTCTGCGAGGCGTCAGGGTTGTTTCACGAAACCACACCTCCACTCCGCAGCGTTTCTGTCGCGCCCCAGCCCGCGCTGGATGCTCGCCCAGATGAGCTGCCCGGGGGGCCTGATCCTGCCGCCTCGCCATGCTTCTGCACAGCATTACGATTCCTGAACGCTACGGCGAGGAAGGGGGTTTCCATTTCCTCTAACGGCTTCTTTCTCAGCAGCGGGCCGCAGCCCAGAGCCATCCCTTTGGAGAGTGGCGGCGGCTGCTGGAGCCAAGGCAGCTGAGCTGCCACGAGTGGTTTTTATTGCCGGGCTCCACCAGCAAAGCCGCCCGTGACTGCAGCATGTGTTTCTGCTCTTTGACCTAGCTAAACTTACTACACCAATTTCTTTCCCTTCCTCTGAAGCCAGTGTGGCTGGGAGCCAAAAGCCTCCCCTCGCTCGGCACTGAAACCCTCCACAAAAAGCCTTCGCTTGAGCGAAGCAGCCCCTCGGGTGTCCCACAGGTCTGGATCTACCGCAGGGACAAAGCCGAGTGCTGTCGAGGGCTGAAATCGGGCACGGCGACTCTTGGTGTTGCTGAAGTTTTGTTGTTTGTCTGAAACACGTTTCTGAAGGCGCAGCACACCACCAGACTCCCGCTGGGTTTTCCTGGCAGGAGCAGCCTGCAGCCCCGTGCCAGACCTCCCCGGCAGCTGTGGTTTTGGAGCGGAGAACACAGGCAGCTCTGCAGCTCAGAGCCACGGAGCTGGGTCACCCTTGAACACTGGCATTTTCACATAGTAAAAAACCTGTTAGCGTATAACCGTAGCGCATAAAAACGCATCATCCCTTAAGCCACGCAGCCCAGCAAGGCTGGGCCAGGAGGCTGTTTAGAGCAGCTCCCGTTATCGTAAAACATTTTGTTTGCAACGCACTGAGAAGATTGCTGAGCCTTTTGTCTCAGCAAGCTATTGATTTCTTCCCCACTGGTGTAACCAGGAGCTGGCACGGGAGGTGTGAATGGATGACCCTTCGGCGAGGCGGCTGCGTTAAAGATTTCTGCACCTTTCCTAATTCAGAAGCTTCCAGACAACGCTGATCCTCGTTCCCCAACGCAGGAACGCAGGCACACTGCAACCCCAGCAGCGCGAGAGCGGCGGGGGGTAATGGAGAACGCGAGTAGCTGTGTCTTGTGGGTTTAGAGCCTTTCGCTTGAGCTCTCAACACCTGCAGCCCACACATGTGCTCTCCTGAACCCACCACCCACTCCTTTATCATCCCCACCAAACCAGCTCCTGCGCTCCTCTCTGCACGCGCAGACCTGCTGCTCCTCGCTCCCGTGAACACCCATCCATCCACCAGCTTTTTTTAACCAGTGTCCTTTCCCTCGCTCTCCCCATCACCAGAAACCGGCCCTTCTCTCTCCCACACACCCCCAAACCAGCCCCTTCCCTCTTCCCCACCCACCCGGTCACCCTGACCCGCTCCCAAGCACAACCCAAGTCTCTGTCTCTCCTCCTGGGGAACGCTGCGGGTCCCCCACCGCCGCAACGAGCGTTCCCTTCCCTACA